TTGCCGAAACCGTTTCGTTTGCTCTTGCCCAAGAGGCAAGAATAATTGTTAAGCCCCAGACCCACATGATTCGTCAACTGGAGACCGAATGTTGCGAACCCAAAGCTCTCGTTAAATCGATCAAGGACGCCATGAGGCAGGTAATAGAAGAAACAAAGTCAGTAGGGATGACTAAGCCCAGGATTAGATGCTTCAACTGCGATAAAGCAGGTCATATTGCGCGCGAATGCAGAGCTAAGCGCAAACGATCCAGGTCATTGTCACCACCTCCAACGAAAGATGGTAGAAGAATGGCTCAACAGTCCACCAAGGAGTCACCGTTAAACTAAATCGAGCCAGTCCAGCGGGGCATGAACTGGCTCCCATCGACGATGGCCCCACAATCTCCATAGCAATAGTAAAACAGAAAAGTCACAACCTAACAACAACTGGGTACATCAATGGTGACAAGCGAGTTCTGACGTTAGATACTGGCGCATCAAAGTCCATCATAAGATCGGATCTGGTAAATGGAAAAATAACGCAACTTAATGGAGTCAGACTGCGCACAGCAACGGGGGAGCCCGCGGCAGTACACGGCAAGATTACCCTGAGACTAACTATTGCCAATAAATCGGAGAATTACGAGTTTATAGTTGCCGATATCGTAGACGAAGTGATAATAGGCGCAGATTTTATGATTGCCTTTGGTATCAATCTGGATATGAAAGAGCGTGTGATGACCTGGTCTAACGTCGAAATTCCGTTAAACGTGGGCTACGATGAAAGTACACCCATTAGACGTCTGACTACGGACCATCCAGAGATAATACCGCCCTGTGCCGAAGCAATAATATGGGTACCAATGAATGGAGATTGTGGAGCCGAGAAGTTGTGGGTGGTGGAACCAGCAGAAAACATAAACAGTAACATCCTAATAGCGAATGCCCTGGTGAAAAGCAACAAGGACGGATTGATTCCTGTTAGAGTTTTGAACCTGTCAAACAAGCAAGAGCAAATTTGCCAATTTTCCGATGTTGGACAATGCACACCAGCTGAAGCTGTAATTAATTTGGAAACTAGCACCGAAAAGCCAGCAGCCATGGAGAAGACGCACCTCGATGGCTACATAAAAGAGTGGACGCACCAATCATCACCTTCCGAGAGGAACAAGGCTAAGCAGCTATTATGGAAATATGCCTCTACCTTTGCGTTGACAAAAGAGCACCAGGGAAGAACATCAGTGGTGAAGCATGAAATCCATACAGCAGACGCGAGACCCATTAAACAGCCTCCAAGAAGTGTTCCCCTGGCGAAAAGAGACGAGGTCCAGAAGCTGATAAGTGAAATGGAAAAGAGTGGTGTAATAGAACCATCGTCAAGTCCATGGTGCTCCCCAGTGGTATTGGTCAAGAAGAAAGACGGAAGCACCCGATTTTGTGTGGACTACCGAAAGTTGAATGATGTCACCAAGAAAGACAGCTATCCGCTCCCAAGAATCGACGACACATTGGACACATTAGCCGGGACGTCATGGTTCTCCACCCTCGACCTGCAGAGTGGGTACTGGCAAGTAGAGATCGCCGAGAAAGATAAAGAGAAAACAGCGTTTGGCGTTAATGGTGGTCTCTGGCAGTTCAATGTCATGCCATTCGGACTCTGCAACGCCCCGGCTACATTTGAAAGGCTGATGGAGCGTGTGTTAAAAGGGCTGCAAAAGGGCTGCAGTGGCTTTCGTCTTCAGGCCTCAATCTGAACCCAAAGAAGTGCAGTCTCTTCCAACGAGAGGTGAAGTTCCTGGGGCACCACGTGACGCCGGAGGGCATATCGACGGATAAGGAGAAAATTCAAGCCGTCAGAGATTGGCCGCAGCCCCGAAATCTCCATGAGCTGCGAAGCTTTCTGGGTCTCTGCACATACTACCGTCGATTTGTCCAAAATTTTGCCAACATCGCCGCCTGTCTACACCGCTTGACGCAAAAAGGCCAGAGGTTTCAGTGGGGCAACGACCAGGAGGAGGCATTCAGAAAGCTCAAAGACATGCTATGCAGAGCCCCCACTTTGGCATACCCTATACCTGGCGGCAATTTGTTCTGGACACAGACGCAAGTGCGTGCGGCATCGGTGGCGTCCTTTCCCAGGAAATCGACGGACAGGAAAAAGTCATCGGGTACTACAGCCGGACATTGTCGAAACCTGAGAGGAATTACTGTGTGACGAGGAGAGAGCTGCTTGCTGTCCCTGAGTGCGTTAAACACTTCCACAAATACCTATATGGCCAGCATTTCCTGCTGAGGACCGACCACGCTGCTCTCCAATGGTTGCTGCAGTTTAAGAATCCGGAAGGTCGACTAGCCCGTTGGATTGAGAGGCTCCAGAGTTATGACTTCAGAATCGAGCACAGAAAAGGCGGAAAACATGGTAATGCTGATGACCTGTCTCGTCGGCCATGCAAAGTAGAATGCAGGCATTGCTCAAAGGCTGGTGTAAAGAGAATATCGTTGATGTCCGATTATTGCAGTTTGAGTCGGGTGAAGATTGGTCGACGGAACAACGAAGAGATCCCATTCTGGGCAAAATAATTTCGGCCATAGAAACGGGCAAGCGACCTAGTCGCAAAGATATTACCTCCGAAAGCCCTCTTTTAAAATCCTATTGGCCCCAGTGGGACAGTCTACTTATAATAGATGGTTGCTTATATCGCAAATGGGAAAGTGAGGACGGTAAATCTCACCGGAACTTGATCGTCGTCCCAGACTCCAAAATAAGAGATGTCTTGTCGGAGTTTCACGATGGGCCAAGTGGAGGACATCTTGGCATAGCAAAAACCGCTGAAAATGTAAAGCAGAGATTCTACTGGGTCGGCTGTCAAAAATCCATTGCCGACTGGATCGCCAATTGTGAAAGGTGCATAAGAGCTAAAGGTCCAACACGGAAGAGTCGAGGCTACATGCAGCAGTATAATTCAGGAGCCCCTTTTGAAAGAATCGCAATGGATGTAGCTGGACCGTTCCCAACAAGCGACTCTGGGAACCGGTATGTCTTAGTGGCCATGGATTACTTCACCAAATGGCCAGAGGTTTATGCTATCCCAAATCAAGAAGCCAGGACAATTGTGGATGTGTTCAGCAAAAATTGGATTTGTCGCTATGGTGTTCCATCTGAGGTTCATTCCGATCAAGGTAGGAATTTTGAATCAGCGATCTACAAGGAAATGTGTGACTCCTACGAAATCAAGAAAACCAGAACGACGCCCCTACATCCACAATCAGATGGCATGGGATGAGCATATTCCAAAGTTTTTACTGGCTTATAGATCGGCCATTCATGATTCCACATCCCGGACCCCAGCCAAAGTTCTGTTCGGAAGTGAATTAAAGCTACCAGGCGATTTGATATTCGGTGCTACCCCAAACGACGATGTGAACCAAGATGAAGACAGTCAAAACTCTTTCAGTAAAGTCCACGATGCAGTTCGGCATCGAATAAAAATGGTTAGCAACCGCATGAAGGCAAGGTACGATCGAGCGGCAAATACCGATGGGTTTCAAGAAGGGCAACTGGTACTATTGTTCAATCCACAACGGAAAAAAGGACTATGCCCCAAATTGCAAACACACTGGGAAGGACCCTACAAGATTGTCACGAAAATAAATGACGTCGTTTATCGAATCCAGAGGAGCGACAGTCCCAGGTCGAAGATGAAAGTTGTACATTTGGAGCGGCTGACCCCCAACGGAACGGGAACTGTGCCTATTCGGGACGAACAGGCTTAAGCGGGAGCAATGTTACGAATATAACTTTAGATTTAAGTTAATTTAGATGAATTCCGTTAATTTAAGAATTTGAATTGTACCGTAATTTTCTACTACGCAGTTTATTCCAATAACTTCACAACAACAACTACTGTATAGATTTTTCTACATCCTTCCATTTCCTCTTTCTTTTTTTAATTTGTTATTGACGTACAATTCTTGTTAAACGTCATCATTGATGATCGCTTAATACCTCTTTCTTTGTTACTCCCTCGCCTGTATATGTGTTGTTGTTATTGTTCACTCAATGTAAGATTGTATGTGTGTGTGTTGCATTGGAAGATTGTTCGTAATCTAGGTGTTACCAGATCGTCTAGAAACTTCTGTAGCGACAGACAAGGCTGATATAAATAGGGGAAATGGAAAGGCAGTTAGTCAGTTGTGAATCAAATCGCGAATTTAAACCGTCAAGTAACGTAAAGCTGTAAAGTAACGTGCAAAGTAAAGTTGTGTCAATAAAATCATTGTAATATTCGCAATCAGAAAGAACCCGCGTTTTATTTGGTACGAACTGTACTGGGAAATAAAACAACGTCTACACGGGATTAAGTAAAATCCAAGAACGTAACAATAATTTTTGACATTTGTTCGTACTAACAGCTGTGCGGATGCCCTGTTTTTACACGATTGGTCTGTTTCCATACTGCAAGAATATAATACTTTTTTTCAATTTATTTACATTCAATACAAAGTTCAATACAAAATTTTACTACGATCATAAAGAAAAATATATTATTCCTTTATGATATCGGAAAATATAGCAAGAATTAGTAGATTCTTGTGATTCTTCGATCTCAAATGTCAATTCCATAGCGTATAAGTCAAAAATAACCCACTGGATTTGTGAACATGATTACTGTGTCGTATACGCTATGCAATTGATATTTAAAATCGAGTGGATATAATAGTCTAAACGTGATCTTAGAATTTATAAAATTATTGGCTAAAACATTCACTAATGGAGTATACATTGGCGATTTTATTAAATAAAAAAATGTCCGTTAATGGAACATTCTTACAGGTACTGGAACGGAAATTTGTTGAATTAATCCACTATTTATTTCAAAAAAAGTACAGGAACGCAGCTTTTGTGTGTGTACACCAGATATATTTATATGTCCCTAATATACACAATAACACCGCCGATGACAAACGTCTAATATGGCTCTGTACTCTGTTGGACTCATATTGATATTTTGTTCAGCGAATTTATTAAAATAAAGTTAAAGAAAAATGGAAAATGAACAGAACGATAATGTCAACAGGGATGAATTGATAATGCAACAACAAAGGGACATCGAAAGAGAGGTATTTTGGACTGTTTTATCGTTTTCATGTGCGGATATCTTCTAAAGAAGCCGCAACATCTCATGTCAATTTACATGTCTCACCAATATGTGTCTCTCCATAGATAAGTGACACAATTCCATTGGTTAGTGAAAAATTGCCGGTGAACTGTTTAAACGCCGAATATATAGGGGATGCTGTATTCACATCTAAAATTGAGGATTTGTCTGCTAAATATTCTCATCTGAGACGTACTCGGCCAGATGGAAACTGTTTTTTCAGAGCATTTGCGTATGCTTATTTGGAACACCTAATATCTAACAAGGAAGACTATGATCAGTTTCGACAGTTGGGTGAAAATTCCAAAGATAAACTAGTGCAGTTAGGATTTCCAAGTTTTACGCTGGAGGACTTTCACGAAACTGTAATAAAACCCATTATTGCCTTGAATTTTTGTAACATTTTCCATCATAATTTCAGTTTATGGAAGTTGTTAAACGCGTGGATCCATCTACGTCGAATCCGGATACTTTAAGTGAACAACTGCACAAGATATTCAATGATCAAGGATATTCCGACTATGTTGTAGTATACCTACGCTTACTAACATCAGGAAAACTTCAAGAAGAGGCCGATTTTTATCAAAATTTTATTGAAGGCAATTTCACCATTGAGGAATTCCGTCATCAGGAAGTTGAGCCTATGTACAAAGAATCGGACCATATTCATATCATAGCCCTATGTTCAGCTCTTGGTGTAGGTGTGCGAGTGGAATATATGGATCGAGGTGAAGGTGGTAATGTAAAAGCTCATGACTTTCCAGAAGGACAGACGCCAAAAGTATTTCTAATTTATAGACCTGGTCACTACGATATTTTATATCCTAAATAATGTATGATTTATTTCCGGTAAAATATTTGAAAATCAAAGAAGAATTAACTACTTACAATAGTTTACGATAAATTTGTAATATATATTTGTTTCTATGACTGAACACAATGTGAACAGGCATTTGAAATTGGCTTAGTGGATTACAAATACATTCTTCTTTCTTCTTGTTGATAAACGAAGCAGTGCTGTCACCCAAATGAGGTAAACATGTTTAGCAGTCCTTTCGGTCTTTTGTAACATCCATGTCAGATGAAATACGGCAATAGATTAGAACACCTTCGACGATCCACTGGGACCTTCACTAAGACAATATGTAAAATCAATATCTAAAATCGCAAGATGACTCATGAGGGGGGCCCAATTAGGAATAAAGGATTTTTCATCGAATAGATAATCAGCTTATTCGGACATAAATTATCCGTGAATTTGTTCGCCCATTGTTAAAGATTGTATTTAACGGGTAAATACCCATTTGTGGGTATTTACTATATTGAATCGGTAATACAACATCTTATACGGCGTTTACATTTAACCGGATTACGTTAACCCAGAGGGTTTAAATTATCAATTCCATTGTATTTATGTCAAATAAATCTTCATCGAGTATGTTAACCCGGTAAAAATGTATAATGAAAACGCCGCATTACACCCTATTTTCGGGTTTTTTGTCATCAAATCGATTTAGATTGGATAGTTTTACGATGCTTTAAAGCCGTGGGTAAATACTCGAGTATTTATACAAAAATTGGGCATAAACTCAATAACTGCCGAACCACTTGACATAGGCGGCCAAAATTTTGCTTACATGTTTTTAATGTCAAAGCCATGGTACAATTATCAAAGGTAACAGCAAATCCCAGCTGATTTGATTCCAACGTAATACTAGTGTCAATATGAATTTGACAAATTATGTTTTTAAAAATCACCCAACAGGAAAATTGGGAACGCATACAATTTGAAATTGTTCTTTATTAAATGTGCTAGGAAAGTTTGCAATTCCTAGCATTTTCATCATGGTACAATTATAAAAGGTAACAGCAAATCCCAGCTGATTTGATTCCAACGTTATACTAGTGTCAATATGAATTTGACAAATTATGTTTTTAAAAATCACCCAACTTGGGAACGCATACAATTTAAAATTGTTCTTTATTAAATGTGCTCCTGTATTCAATTTACTCAATCTGCCTGCTGGGAAAGTTTGAAAATCTTTCTTTAAGGAATAACTCGCTATTCCCGGCATTTTCATATGTGTTACACATATATATGGCAATGGCTCAATTATAGGAAAGATGTGGAATAGATAGAAATATAAATTTGATAGATTTTCATTCATGTTTTTCAATTTTTATTTTGAGGATTTGAAAATATTTCATTTTCAAAATAAAAATAATTTGATGATAATTTGTTTGTTTATTTACATTTTTCTGTCAAATGAGCTGACACTAGTAGAACTTACAACAACAAATTTCCATGTGGTTGTTGTATCGTTTTTTGTACAACAACACTTGCTGTTACCTTCTATTATTATACCATGCATTTTCATATGAGTTACACATATAAGAGGCAATGGCTCAATTATAGGAAAGATGTGGAAGCGATAGAAATATAAATTTGATAGATTTTCATTCATGTTTTTCAAAATTATTTTGAGGATTCGAAAAATATTACATTTTCAAAATAAATATAATTTGTTGATAATTTGTTTGTTTGTTTACATTTTTCTGTCAAATGACGTTGACACTAGTATAACTTACAACAACAAATTTCCATGTGGTTGTTAAATCGTTTCTTGTACAACAACACTTGCTGTTACCTTCTATTATTATACCATGTGTCAAAGCAAATATTGAAATGAAAAATGGGGTTCCTGGGTCCAAGTTTTGATATAGCCCCCATATAACCGTTTCTCCCGATTTAATGTATTTTTTGTCTATTAGACGCATTTTACGACCAAATTGGTTATAATTTGGCCAAAATATTCATGGGAAATGTGGTTTTCGTCACAAATGGTTTAAATATCAACATTATTTTCTGTATGGGAAATGGGTTCTTCAAAACACACGTTAAGTGGTTCGGCTGTAAAGAGTTTGTTTGATATATATAAATACCCAAAATCAGGACCATTATATAGAACAGAAAACGTGGACTAGCGTAGATAATTGGTACTCATAGGGAACTCTCTGTGCCAAAACGTGGACCCAGAGACCCCATTTCCCATTCCAGTACTTGTATTGATATAAAATCCATCTGAGTCAAATTTTGGCCGCCTATATTAAGTGGTTTGGCAGTTATTGAGTTTATACCCAATTTTTCGGTAAATACTCAAAATAGGGGTACCTCTGTATAGGGGTTACCAGTAAACGTGGACCTACATACATTTTTGCATGGACATTTGGGTAAATACTCGGGTATTTACCCAAGTACCCACGTCTTTAAAGTATCGTAAAACTATTTATTCTAAATCGATTTGATAAAAGAAACCCGGAAATAGTAAGATGTTGTATTACCGATTCAATATAGTAAATACCTAAATAAACACCCACAATTGGGTATTTACCCATTGCCCATCTCTATACATTAGAACTTTTTTACCGGGTTAACCTATGTTGTGAGGATTTATTTGATATATATTCAATGGAATTGGCAATTTGAACCCACTCGTGGTTTGTTTCCGTATCTACTAGATTTTACTATTTTCTTCGATATCATAAAGGAAAATTCGTTATCGTAGTATAAATTCGTAGATTCTTGCAGTACGGGAAAGACCATCGGTTAACCAAATCCAGTACAATGTAAATGTACTATTAGACTTTTTAATGCAAACATTCGATTAATCGATTAGTTGAAAATCGACTGACATATCCCTAGTAGGTTGTTGTCTTTTCAGTTGTATTGTATTGTTTTTGTGTTTCTGTTGTGATAAGAGTCATCGTTTTCTTATATATAAACATATTGTTAAAGTATACGTTTTATATTTTATCACACTAATTTAAAATGGATTGCGAAGATATGCAAATGATTATTACAGAAGAGCCAAATTTGTCGGTATGAATATTTTTTTCGATTTAGATGTTTTACGTTAACGTTCGATTTACGAATGTCGTGAATAAAATGGCCTTGGGGTTGTATACATTAAGAACCTTCACTAATGTAATAGAAGCTAAGAAAAGAAATTGTAATGAATAGTACAAGTTCTTAATTTTATAATTTAAGTGCAAAGCAAGAAATAAAAGAAAGTTTTCCTAAAAGTTTCCCATGACACAAATCAAAGTTTGTGCATTCCATTTTAGTAATTCAAACAAGCTATCGACAACTACGCAGTAAAATTTCTTAAAGGTGGAGGGGGTTACATTCAGATTTAAGGGTAGTTTATAAAAGACTAATGTAAATGTTTCATTTCTATTTTCAGGAACGCAAAGAAGGCGGAAAACGAGGACGTAAGCCAGGACGTAAGGCTTCGAATGAGAAAGTCGACATCAAAGCTAAACTTGGTATTTAATTTCTATTGACTTGATTTCCTGAACACTTATTACATTTGTTTTCATTTAGAACGTAGTCGACAAAGCGCCCGAGAATGCCGTGCACGTAAGAAGTTACGATATCAGTACTTGGAAGAGTTGGTGGCTGATCGAGAGAAAGCTGTATTAGCATTGAGAGCGGAATTGGATCGTGTAAGTCAGTACAAAACAATTTTAGGTATATCACTTTAGACGACGGCACCTGGTAACCTTTTTACATTTTCTATTTTCAGTACAAACAATGGAGCTATGAATTAGGCGAAGGTCGTATTCCTAACGGGTTTCAACAGCTGTTAGAGGATTCTGGAATTCTTAAACAGGAAATATCGTAGTTATTATTAGTAAATAAGATCATCATTTAATTTGCCAATTAAAATCTGTACAAAATATTTTACCTAAGATTGTATTCTTTATACGCATTAAATATCTCACACCTGAAATTGAGCAAAGATTCGATAGTTTATTATTTGTATTAATAGTAGAATAAAATGATAAAAACGAACAAAGTACGTTATTACAGCTTCTGGAAAAGATCGTATAACAACAAAATATAAAAAATTTCCCCACATTTAAACAGAACCTAGAGTTTAGGAATTTGTCCCTATAAACAGGGCACATAACCGTTATGTGGAATTCTATTCGCAAAGTCAATTATAAAGATCATTGAAAGCCGCATTAAATGAGCTAGTACTTTTAATGTTTGAGGTATTGAAAAAATGGTGTATTGTCGGATTTTTGTGAGAAATGTCAGGATGTGATGATGTCATAACAACACGAGAAACTCATCGAAAAAAATTGTATTGACAGCAAAGTAGAAAATAAATCAACTTTTATTTATTTAAATTTACCTGCAAGGGCGAGTTTATACTCTATCGAGTCGAGCTTAATGATCGAATGAAAAGGAAAACCAGAAAAGGAACCTATGCACCCAACATGTACAATCCCACGGCGGCCGGTTCTATGCACCGGATTGACTCGAAGGAATTCTTCGACCAAGGGCTGCCACCTCAACTACTACATGTTTGTGCCGTATTTTTTCATCATGGGAGAGGCGTTATATCCCGGGATGCCTGCTCCGAACTCTTCTGGTCCGCGCCGGGATAGAAAGAAACCCCGGACCTAGGTTCTGTTCCGTTTGTCGGAACCGCATCCACCACAGATCAACGTCGGTGAGATGCAATAGATGTATGGGATGGGTGCATTTCCGCGGCTGTTCGGGTCTTAGTCGACTCCAGGACTACTGTGACAGGAGTTACTTTGCTGCATGCTGCGTCAGCGTATCTCCCAGCGTGTCCTCATCATCTTCGCCGTCAACGTCTTCAACGACATCGTCGTCAACGTCTTCGTCGTCGTCGGATTATGAGACACCCCCACAGTCTCCTCTACAGCAAACGCAGAGTCTAACACCACATGTTGCTGTAGTACGCCCCGGAAATGCATCGTTTTTGCAGTTTAACTGCGATGGACTGCGAAATAAAATCAGCGAAATCGTAGACTTTATGAATCGGAATAACATCATGGTCGCCGCGATCCAGGAAACCAAGCTGTCTGATACATGTAGCTTGCACCGTTGCGATGGTTACAACGTGAAGCGGAGGTGGGGGACTTGCTTTCTTGTTACACCACTCTGTACAATACAGACCTATCTCGCTTGAGCTAGATTCTAGTGACCCATATATGGAGTGTATGGGGGTAGCAGTCAAGTGTGGCACTGCCGAGATAGAGGTGCTTAACGTGTACATCCCGCCGTTAAATAGCTGTACCCCGCGTTATTTACCCGACATTAGTTTACTTTTGGAGGGTAATAACCGTCTGGTACTAGGGGATTTCAATGCCCATCATGAACTCTGGCATCCCGTCCTAGGTAATGACCAGAGGGGTACAGCGCTGGCAGAGCAAATTGACAGCTCCACGTTTTGCACGGTGAATGAGGATGCCCCCACGAGAATTAGAGGAGATTGCCACAGCTCGCCGGACATCACCATTGTGGCACCAGGTCTGATTAATGACGTAATCTGGCAACCCGTCATTTCTCTTGGTTCAGACCACCTCCCCATCATCGTCTCCGTAAATAGACCACCCGATTTCATAACCTCTGAACGCCGAACTTTCCTGAACCATGGTAAAGCTGATTGGCAAGGTTTCAGAGATTTAACCAATCGCCGCTTCAGAGAGCTGCCCATTCCCTCAGATCCTCGGGTAGCTGAGAGGAAATTCCGAGACATCATCACTGCTGCGGCCGCCCGCCATATACCTGCTGGTCGTATACCCGAAGTGAGACCAAACTTCCCAGCAGAAGCGACGGTGCTTGCGAATGAGCGTGATGAGCTTCGCCGTACAACACCTGAAGACCCAAGAGTGAAGGAACTCACCCTTGAAGTCAACAGGTTAGTATGCGAACACAAGCGCAAAAAGTGGCTAGACCACCTGAAGCTCTGCAATATTGGAGCCGCAACAAGTAAATTGTGGGCAACGGTTAAGTCACTCTCGAATCCTGGAAGGAAGGATGATAGAACGGCTGTCACGTTTAACGACGTAACGTTCACTGATCCGAAGAGGTGCGCGAGTTTTTTTAACCGGCAGTTTATTGAGCACCCCGAGAGTGACATGGCGAAAAGGAGTGTGCTTCGTCGCATTAGAGCCCTCCGAGCCGAGGAGGTACCACCACAATTTTCGAAGGATGATGTTGCAGATGCCATTCGAAACGCTAAATCATCCAAAGCGTTGGGCCCGGATGGAATCTCAATGATAATGCTGAAGCAACTGGATGAACCTGGAGTGGAGTACTTAACTGCTGTTCTCAACCTGTCGGTAGCCACCCACATTGTTCCTGAAGCCTGGAAAATAGGCAGGGTGGTCCCGCTACTGAAGCCAGGCAAGGATGCCAGCAGAGGTGAATCGTACAGGCCGATTTCCCTTCTGTCTCCAGTAGCAAAGACGCTTGAGTCACTACTCCTCCCTCTGATGAGAAGTAGGTTTCCAGTCCCTCAGCACCAACATGGATTTCGGAGAATGCATAGTACGACCACAGCATTACACGCCATAACCACACATGTAAGTAGAGGACTCAACGAGAACAGGCCGTGCGACAGAACAGTCTTGGTGTCTCTTGACTTATCGAAAGTCTTTGATACAGTCAATCACGCCAAGCTGTTCGAGGACATAGAGAAGACCAACCTCCGGCCTAGTTTGAAACGTTGGATAATCAATTACATGTGTGGTCGCCAGTCATATGTGGAATTCAGAAACAAGAAGTCTAAACCCCTTAGAGTGAAACAGGGAGTTCCCCAAGGTGGGGTCATATCTCCGGAACTGTTTAACCTCTACATTTCTGAAATTCCACAACCACCTGACGGCATAGAGATCGTAATGTACGCGGATGATTGTACGATCATGGCGTCGGGCCCTATTATCGATGACATCTGTGAAAGGTTAAATGTCTACTTAGCTGATTTAGTACAGTTCTTCCATCTGAGGAATATGAAGATATCCGCGGCCAAATCCACTGCCACTCTGTTCACCACATGGACGGCTGAAATGAAGCTCCCTCTGAACATCATGGCCGATGGTGCAATAATTCCGACCACTAACTAACCCAAAAATTTTGGGAGTAACGTTCGATAGCTTATTTAAGTCGCCCGCGCAAGCCACCGCTATTTGCGATAAGATGAGAAGTAGGAACAAGGTCCTCAAGTCGCTTGCCGGCAGCTCTTGGCGTGCTGACCTCTTACAAAGCAATAGGTCGGTCGGTGGTAAGCTATGCGGCGCCAGTGTGGTATGCGAATGTAAGCGATACGCAGTGGAAGAACATACAAACCTGCCAGAATGCCGCCCTGAGAACTGCGACAGGGTGCCTCCTTATGACGCCAGTGGACCATTTACATGAGGAGGCAATGGTCTTACCCGTACATCGGCACAACAGGATGTTGTCGATGCAGTACCTGCTTGGGTGTTATCGCAGGAATCATCCATGCCATAATCTTATGGATAGAATTCCCCCACCCAGGCACGTAAGGAGAGACCTACATGATCTAGAGAGAGAGGTCCAACGGTATAAAAGAGAACCCCTAGATCGTGAGGCTTATCGAGCAGGAATTACCAACATTCATACGGAAGCAGTGACCCTGGCAATGGACCAATACCACCTATAGCAGCAGAAGAACGTGAGCTGGCTAGACAAACGAGAGTGGTTTTAGCCCAACTAAGATCAGGATGGTGCAGCCGCCTCAATTCGTATTGGGCCCGAATTGACAGCACGGTTCCAAACACATGCTGCATCTCTTTAACTGCCCTGCTAAACCCACTCATCTGTCCCCGGAATCTCTTTGGACGCAGCCGTTACAGGTTGCAACCTTCCTGAACCTGGAAACAGAGGAATCAGAACCGGATTAATTTAATACAACAAACATGTAGATAGTTGCTACAACAACATGTGCTTTGAAAAGGACTGTTTTTTGATTGAAGAAAATTCTTAAACCTTGACTGAGAAATAATAAAGTTTCATTATCTAATTTGTACGTTTCTTGACATTTTCGTTCGTTCTCCAATATACCTACATCTAGAATTATATCTTTAATGTCCTTCAAAATATGCAAAAGTTTCAAAATCTGTTTTTTTTTTTAACCGAAATGGAAATACTGACCTGGATTTACAGTTCGAATTGTTATTGGCGGTTTAGGCACACTTATAATGTATATAACATTCCTCAGAATGTAACACATTTTTGGAAGTGACTGATCTATTTAATTAGTTCTAAATAATTCTTTTAGAAGCCATTATTATAATAATGGCTATATTAGGGTCGGACCTAAATTCATGCGTATACGTACGATTTTATTCACCTCAAAAATTCAATAAATGTTACCCGAAAACGCATTCCAGTAATTGAAAAAATTGTGTTTCTATAAATCTAAACATTTTTTCGATCAATAAAAAAATGTATTCATTCATTTTCGCCGTTTTCAATTGACACAGATGTAGAAAAAGTCCTTACGTATTTGGGTATAGCAAAGACATAGAAACCGTAAAGACTCGTCAAAATGCATTTTGGCAAAATAGTTTATAAAAAATATCCAGGGGGAATCAGGTATAACAGAGGCATGTTAATAATAAAAACGCCAATACGCGATAATGTTTTTATAAAATGTAAATAAAATCAGAGATCTGCACTCAAAATATATTTTTTTATTTAATAATCTTAAGATATAGCATTAAAAACGTTTAATATTGTTCTTTCTTTTGTTATGATATCGTAACAACAGAGGAAAAGCCATCTGTTGGAAATTGCCCTATCATTATACTTTTGTGTCTTCGATTCGAATAGACAGAAAAATCATGA